AAAAAAAAAAAAAAAAAAAAAAATCTGAAAAAAAAACTATGTTATGCAGAAAAATAAACTGAACAACTTTTGCCCTAGGGTTACATCGAAATTCTTCACCAAATTTAAAATAAAAAATAAAATTCAAAAATATTTTATTTATTTTTATTTTTTTTAATTATTTTGGCCCGGCCGGACAAGTGACCCCGGGCCACTCTAGTAGCCTAGTTATTAATACTATTATCTTTTTTTATTTTTTATTTTTATTTTTAACTTTTTTTTTTTGTTTTAAATTTGTTATTAAGCTTTTGTTATTTTATATGCTTGTGTGTGTGTGTGCGTGTGTGTGTGTGTGTCCCTCCCCGTTCCCTCGTAATGGAGGTCCGGGTGGGGTAGGTCACTAAGTCTTTTGAAAGGATTTTAGAACCTACCCCATCCGGGGTAGGTCCTCCGTCCGAACCAAGCCAGCAGTTTTATTGGGCTTGCACACACAGGAGTGTATTTTAATTATTATTATTATTATTTTAAGTGGTGTGGGGTTCGGATTAGCGTCGGGTGTGGTTGTTTTTGAGCCATTGGAGTACTGTATGTAGGCAGCAGCGGAAGGGTTGGTAGTTTTCAGGCTATCTGGAACAGTACGTGAAAAATGTGTGAAACAATGGGTGAAAATGTGTGAACGAATGCGTGTAAAAGAGCGTGAAAAATGCGTGAAAACTGCGTACACAATGTGTGGAAAATTCGTGAAGAAAGTGTGAAAAAATGTCTGAAGATGCGTGAAACAATGCGTGAAGAAAATGCATGGAGAATGCGTGAAAATTACTGTAAAAAATAATTGCTTAAGTTTTCTAAAAATTTCAAATACACAAGGTCTAGTAGTCCCCCTATTACCCATTAAAGCTCATCCTAGTATGAGCATTTATGATTATGCTATCAATCGGACATTAATTAATACCACACCAAATCGCACCATGCGTATTTATCGCAAGTACTCGCGGAACAAACGCCAGAAAAAGTGTAGGGAATTCATTTACCACGGATCTAACTAGGATATTGAGGGTAAAGTATGGGTACTTGCAGTGGGGTTTTCTAGAAATGATGGCACATTCGTTTTTCATATCTCGGTGGGTACTGCGGTTGTCATGGGTTTTCGAGCGTGTAAATATAGTTACCGATGCGGTTTAGAAGGAAAGGGAAGGGAAGTGCGTAAAAAGTGCGTGAAAAAAATGGTGAAAGAATGCGTGAAAAATACGTGAAAACAATGCGTGGAAATGAGTGGATGAATGCGTGAAAAGATGTGTGAAAAAGCGTGAAAAAAATGTGTAAAAAATGCGTGGAAAATTCGTGAAAAGTGCGTAAAAAATGCGTGAAATGCGTGAAATGCGTGAAAATGCGTGAAACAATTACTGTATTAGATCATCGGGCTAAATTTTGTTCTTCTGTACTAGGAGAGTAAGCGCACAGAGAATATCGCGCATAGCAAATGTAATGGAAAAGAGGTCTTCGGGGGGTCAGAGTGCACAAGCTGATGCGGGAAGATATACGAAAAGACAACTGTGCGCATATGTGAGAAGGAATCATAAAAGCGTTATTAGGGAATAAGAATGATAATTTTTTTACTTATATAGGGGGGGGGGGCGTATAACCATGCGTGCACTGAAGGTGGGAGGGACGTAGGGATTTGGCATACTATAGCAAGAAGTATTTTCAGACGTATTATCATACGCGGGGATGATCACGTGAGAATTTAAAGAAAACGAAGCTTAATTAGCGGAACTTTTTTGCGAAGAGACCCAAGAGACCCAAAAGAACAACCAACTCAACAGGTTAATCGGTAGTACAAACGCTTAGTAGGGGAACACTTCGGTTCGTAGTAACAATTTCTCAATCGCACAGATGACGGTCGGTGATGCCCACAATGAGGGTTGATTTCAAGGTGTCTTGTGTGATAACATCAAACGAGGACCATTCTCAACTATGAAATCCTTACAGACTTTTTTCGGACGTGCAGGAGATTGCGGGAGTAAGTTGAACGTAGACTAAGGTTTTTTTTTTAAATAAAAAAAAAGCTTGATGAAAGAACTATTTTCGAGGCATACGAATCGTGACCTATGAGCAAGGTGCTGGGGGGTTGGGGAGATTGCTGAAGAGGTGGTTTCAATGTTTGGTTAACCAGCCTGAACTATTTCGAGAAAGCAAGTATGGAGGTGTCTGATTATAGAGGGTTGTCTTATGATAATTAAGGTTAAGCGGTGTCTACCAGTCTCCAGCAGGGGTTATGGCCGCCGTATGAAATACCAGGATGTGTGTAAGAGTGGTCCGTGTGTAGGAATATGAACTGTGGAGTGCTTATATGGGGATATCGTGGTTCGCGGACATCAATTGGCAAAATCGTTATGCTATGTTTTTGTAGTGTTTGCTTTCAAAAATATGTGTCATACTGTTTTGCTATAAGGACAGGAATAGGTAGTGTGGTAGTATTTTACGACGAGTTGGCAGGAGTGTGAGGGCAGGAAGGGTTGAAATTAGTAACAGGTCCAAGTGCATCATATTAGGGAAGAGGTGGGCAGTCAGTTGAGTTTGTGCATTCTTGTCAGTAGGGGAGTCGACCCCTGACTTAGCAACAGGATCAGAGATCCGGGTATGTTGGGGGGGGGGGTGTGTACGTAACACGGCTATCCTACGTAAAGCAGGAAACAAAATGCGATTAAAAAAAGAACGCCCATTAATCGTTTGTTAGCTAGCATAATAAGCTATGAAGATTATGAAGAGCACTAAAGGACCATGTGTTTAAGGAATTAGTGGGTATATGAGTGAATTATGTTAAGTAGGGAGCATTATGTTAGTTGTTAGCGTTAGTGGGTTAGAGATTAGGAAAGGGCAACAACCCAGCCCTAGGGGGGGTGCACGCCCTGAAGCGCGCTTTTCGCTGCTTAGCACCCATAGCAGCTCGTTAGAGGGATTAGTTGTTAGCAAGGCTCCAATTAGCACAAAGGGTGGTAGGGAGTTGTAGTCAGGGGGTCGTCGGAATACACAACATGGGCGATTAGGGGTAAGGGTACAACGGATCCGTACCTGCGGTGTCATGTCTGGAGAAGCGGCATAGTCAGTCGCTGCCGTAGCTGTCATCGCTGTCGAGCTTCGGCGTAGCGATGGATCAGGAGCTCCGCTGGTCAAAGCACAGATTGGCCGGCCCAAGAAGGTGCCTTGCCCGCCGCGGACAGACGGTTAGCTCGCCTGGTTGCCTAGTATGAGGGGGATGATGAGAGACAGGTGGGAGAAGGTGGTGGGATGAGGAAGTTATTCGCATGCGTAGCAAGTATGAGTCGGAATGCTCCGTAGCGTCGATGTAGTAAAAAGCGAGCTATTGTAGATAGTAATGAAGACAGGCTTCATTATATTTTGTTATGTGAGGTTTGTAATAGGTATGGTGGCGTTCATGTGTATAGGATAGCTTAATCGTTTTTTTTTTTTTTTTTTTTTTTTTTTAATTAAAAAATTAGGTCGCTGAAAGGTGATATTCATTCTGGTTTGGTAAAACAGGGCGTATTTGGTAGGTTTTAGGGGTCTGTGTAGGTGTGCGGGTTATGCTTGCGCGTGATCGGTTATAGTACAATTTACGGGGTCTGGCCGTAGGTGGGGTGATTATAGTTTTGAACTTCAGTGGCAAATTTGCTTTGCTTTGTAGTTCATGCGTAATGTTATTGTCTTCTTCTTTCTCGCCGATCAACTTCAGAGCTCGGCGGTGGTCAGTAGCAAAACACAAATGGACATTACTTGAAAGAAGATGGTAAGAGTTTTACTATCATGGCATAATCACCTTCCTCCCCACGTCACCTTAACGCACACTGTTAAGGTTCTCAACCCTTCTACTCTTACGCCACTCGGTATTTTGGATGGGTTGCAATCTAATTAGTTGTTTAAGGAAAGTGACATATTTCTTCTGTGGAGTTTTTTTTGTCCTTGTTTTCAGATGCCAATCTTCATGGGGATGCTTCATAAGTTTTTGTTTTTTTGTGTGTCTTTCTTTGCGGGGTGTTGCTTTGCCGTTTCATTTTTTGTTGTCGTATCTGTTTCCTTTTCTTCATTTTCATGCTTATGCATGTGTTCGGGTTTTTATTATTATTCATGTCCCTTAGTTTTTCTTGAAATAAATGTTTGCCTTATATAGTGCCCTCGGTTGGGTGGTATTGTCTTCATCAGGGGTTTGTACTTGCGGGTGGTCGTATCGATGTACGAGTGGGGGTGTATGTGTATTAGGTTCTTATGTGTAGGTCAGTGTTAAGTGGTTTGCTGTGTATGTGTTTTAAGGGGTGTTTTAATAAATTTGACGATGGGTGGTACTGGAGTGTTGTATTATTCTTCGGTTCTAATTGATTTTTGCTCACTGTAAACCGCGCAGAGTTTTTCGTCGAGTATGTTGTTTTATCTGTAAGTGTACTTAGTGGTGTGTTGGAAGCCAAGAATAACGCATTCTAGGAGGCCCTCCTACAGGTCTCGGAAGCCAATGCTGACCGGTTCCAAGAGAGGCTAGCTGCTGCCGTCGCAGCCTTGGTCCGATTGCGGAACTTGGAAGATCTCGAGTCCCGTGTGACAGCACTTGAGTAGCGGAACCAAGAGTTGCAGGCTAAGGTAATTAGCCTTGAACAGTCCCAACTATCTGCCCCCGCCCTCCTAACCCTTGATCTGCTGTAATCCCAGTCTCTCAGCCCAGCACAACCCTCGTTCCAAGGGTCAGCGGAACTGTGGCAAGTGCAGGAACCGATGCCAGCTCCTCGAGCGGCAGCACTGGCAGTTCTGCACTGGTCACAGTCCCTAATGCGGGGACTTCAGCCCAAAACGTCGCAGTTCTTACTGGCGTTCAGTACAGCGGTCCCATGGTGGACAAGCGGGCGGCCACGCTGCCGTCCAAGTACGACGAGAAGGCTGACATCACCTCTTGGATTAGTTCCATGAGGTCATACTTCGAGGTCATGCGAACACCGCAAGAGGACCGAAGTATGATAATGGGGACTGATACCGAGCCCGCCGTACGCAACTACATTGAGCTCCAAGCTGTTGCTGCAGGCTATGAGCGCATAGACCTGACTGAATGGCTGAAGGTTACCCCTGTCCGCGCTCTTGAAGATCTTCTCCTTGACTGGTATCAGGATAAACACGCTGCGCTCAAGGCTAGGTTGAAGCTTGAGGCCCTCAAAGGCCAAACATGGAGGTCATCCATGCAAGCTTTAGAACAACACTTGACATGTCTATTCACCACTTCGGATCTGGGGATGACTGACGTGTCTTGCATGGATGTAGTCATGGAAGTGACCCCTAAAGAATACCTCTCCCTGCTAGCACTCAAAGACCATGCTACCTGGCGAGAGCTCATGAAGGATCTAGTCAACCTAGAGGCCAAGGACCTCGCCAGGCGCAAGAAGGCGCCCGCTGCAGGTGGGAAACCACAACGCAAGCRGTTGGGAARCAGCAACCAGCKTGCACTGCATGACCATCGGGAGGCTGAGGATCAGTCCTATGCGGATGATCTGTCTCTGGATGACGATCTAGAGCCGGACTCCGATGCGGGCTGTTCTACATCAGCCATTGAGTGTGACCGAAACGACAATGAAAAACTTAATGCATTCAAGAAGACTGCTTCAAATAAGGGGCCTAACCGTGGTTCGGGTAAGGGAACAGTCATACACCTTCCCAAGAATGCTAAGATCCCTGAGAAACCGGAGGACGCTTCCACCAAACCTTGGGAAGCCCTCCGCATCAGCCAAAAAGAATGGGAAAGAAGATCCAGACTGCGCGTATGCTTGCATTGTTCAAAGTCTGGGCATGCTGTGCAGGATTGCTATCGTCTTCAGGGAAACAGACAAGGGGTGTAGAGGAGTCATCAACACTCTCTACAGCAAGGGAAGTTGGGCAGTCAATTGCAGGCCCTTCCGAGAAGCCTGGATCTGATCAGCAGCGTGCTCTTGAAGCCCAAACTAATGCTGAATCCAAGGCTGACGCAGTCCAAGTATTGTACACTGAGCCTTGGGAGGAGTCTAAAGAGGTCGACCTCCACGCCCACATGAAGCATTGGCTGCAGCTCAAGCAGCAACGCCGTGTTCAAGGGAGCGTGGAGCTGATTTTTTTAAAACTACTCATTAACTGCCGATACATCCGTGTGCTGATTGACAGTGGTTCGACCACTAATTTCTTCTCTCCGAACGGGATTCGTAAGGCAGGTCTGGGTATGAAGCAAGTGGAACTGCAGAACCCTTGCCGGACTCAGGTGGGCAACCAAGAGGTTGTCACTTCTACTCATGCTGTCAAAGGTGTGCGCATCACCTTTGACAAAGATCGCACTGTCACACATGAGCTGAATTTCTATGTCCTGGACAAGTGTCCTTTCGACGCGGTCATTGGCTTGGGCTGGCTAAAGGTTCATTGCCTAAGGACCACGTGGGCAGACAACCAGTTCGTGGTACTTGATGCCAAGGGTAACGCGCGTACCGTCTTACTAGACGAGACGCGCGAGTCCCCTGTGACTCTTCTCAGTGCTAACAAATTCTGCAGGTCAGTGCGCAGGCGCAAGGAAGCTGAGTTTGTACATATAGCTCTTTTAAAGCCTTTCCACGTGTCTTCTACTTTTGCTGCATTTTCTACCTCTGAAGGTAACTCTACCTTTACTACTACTACTTCTGTTGTAAATGATCAATCTAGTTCGAAACCAAATATGTCGAAATCGGTTGTGATTGCTGTAAATTCCCAATCTGATTTTCTCTCTCCTGATGAGGATGATCCTCCACCAGAAATCCCAGCGAACATTCGCCATCTATTAGATCGATTTCCTCCAGCGGAACCTCGCGGAGTTCCCGAGTGTCCAGTCAAGCACAAAATCGAGATAATAGAAGGGAGTGTCCCTCCAAAGGGCTGCGTCTACCGTATGGAACAAGGCGAGTTGGAGGAGCTGCGGAGACAAATTGATGACATGATTGATCGTGGATGGATTAGGCCTAGCGAGTCTGAGTTCGGCGCACCTGTTTTGTTTGTGTCGAAGAAAGGAGGCAAACTCCGGATGTGCATTGATTATCGTGGTTTGAACCGAATCACAAGGAAGAATGCCTACCCTTTGCCTCGTATAGATGATCTGCTGGATGCGGCCGGTGGATGCAAAGTCTTCTCTAAGATCGACCTCAAGTCTGGCTACCACCAGATTGAAGTTGATCTGAGCGACCATCACAAAACTGCGTTCAGGACACGCGACGGCCTGTACGAATTCATCGTTATGCCCTTCGGCCTTACGAACACACCAACCACATTTCAGTCCCTCATGGACAAGGTACTTCGTCACCAACTTAACAGGTTTGTGGTTGTGTATCTTGATGACATTCTGATTTTTAGCAAGTTCATGGAGGAGCACGTCAAGCATCTCGAGGAGGTCTTGCAAGTCCTCAAAGATGCTCAACTGCACCTCAACTTGGAGAAATCTGAGTTTGGCAGGGACAACGTCATCTACCTTGGGCACCGGTTGTCTGCAAGCGGTCTTGAGCCGGAGGCAACCAAGGTTGAGGTCATCCGCAACTGGCCTCAACCGGCGAATGTACGTGAGCTGCGTTCTTTTCTTGGTCTGGCTTCTTACTACCGGAAGTTTGTGCCTAAGTTCTCTGTCATTGCTCACCCACTCTCACGCCTGACTAGTAAGAATGTTGCCTTTGCGTGGTGTGAAAAGTGTGAGACTGCGTTCCAAGCCTTGAAAGAGGCTTTGTTGAGTCATCCTGTGCTCCGCATTGCGGATCCCAACCTCACGTTCGTAGTCACTACGGACGCGAGCCAGTTTGGGATTGGTGCAGTGCTACAACAAGATGATGGCGATGGTCTGCGTCCGCTTGAATATTACAGCAAACGCATGCCCAGCCACAAGGTAGCCACTTCCACATACATGCGGGAGCTCTACGCCTTGCGCGAGGCGCTCACGCATTGGAAGCACTACCTCTTGGGTCGCCACTTCAAGGTCTATTCAGATCATCAGACCTTGCAATGGATGAAGACACAAACTGATCTCTCTCCAACTCTGACCCGCTGGCTGCATGACATTGATGTTTTCAACTTTGAACTAAAACATAAGAAAGGCTGCTATAATCGTGTTGCTGATGCTTTGTCGCGCCATCCCGAGTATTTAACTTGCCTTGTGGACTCGTACGACCTCCGGAGGAAACTGAAGGAAGATCTGGTCGAGCACACTGCCAAGGATCCGGACCTTAGTCCCATCCTTGAGCAGCTCAAGACTGACCCCAACAGTCAGCCTGATTTTCATGAATGCGAGGGTCTTGTATTTCGCCGGTACGGAAAGTTTGACCGTCTATGTGTACCCAACCATGCGCCTCTCCGAACTCACTTCTTGGATCTGGCGTACGGTCGGAGTGGACATTTTGGCTTTGAGAAGACTTATGGAAGTCTTCTACAACAATTTGATTGGCCAGGAATGAAAGGATCTGCTCAGAAATTCATTGCTGAATGTCAAGTATGCCAAAGAATCAAGGTCCACAAGCATAAGCCTTATGGCCTACAGAGACCTCTCTCCATTCCTGATGGACCCAGTCAATCGATTTCCATCGATTTCACGGACATGGGAAAGGTGAGTGAGGCTGGGAATTCACAAATCATGGTCATTGTGGACCGCTTCTCCAAATTTCTGAACTTTATTCCTCTCCCTCCTCACGCCCCGACTGAACTTGTAATAGAAGAATTTCATCAGCAGTACATTCCGCAGTCCGGCGTCCCGAAAACTATTGTGAGTGATCAAGACACCAGATTCATCAGCAAAGATTGGAAAGACTTCACGTCTCAGATCTACGACATCAAACTGAACAGGACTTCTGGTCGACACCCCGAAGCCAATGGATTGGCTGAGGAGATCAACCAGACTGTCATCCAATTGCTTCGCGCACTAATTGTTCCAGATCAGAACACGTGGGACAAGGAATTGCACAAAGTGAAGGAGCTGTACAACAACTCCATCCATTCTGCGACTGGTGTGACACCAAACCAATTGCAGTATGGATGACCTATGCGTAATCCCCTCTCCTATCTGTTCCCCGGACGGTCACCTGGTCTGATGCCCGGCATGCCTGGCTACAATGCCAAGTACGCACGCTTGCTCAAAGCTGCTACAACAGCTATGAACAAGCGTCAGCATGCCATGATCAAACATGCCAATAAGCTGCGCAAAGAAGAAAAATTCAAAGTAGGGGATTATGTTTGGGTCAAAAYGTCTGAGTTTYCKRATGAARAGGGCATATCACGGAAGCTTCTTCCACTGTACTACGACCCTTGGCAGATTCTGAAGGTAGTCGGGGATGACTTCGGTCCTTCGTACGTGATTGACGTGCCTCCTCACCTGCGCACGTATCCAGTCTTCCATTCCTCCAAACTGTTCCCACACATTGATGATGAGACTTTTCCCTTCCGTGACCCTATGATACCTCGCCCTATTGACGGCGGCCATGAGATTGACTGAATCGTTTCTCACGAGGGGAGAGGGAGGAACAGACAATACAAAGTTCATTTCCTCTACCACCCGTTGAACGAATTCTTCTGGATCGACCGGAAAGAACTGATAA